AGAGATAAATGACTCATTTTATGTGATGGAAATAACGTTCCTACAGGATGTTGGAAGGATGCAATCAAGATCCTTCCAGATGTTAAAATATCAGAAAAAGTAATTTTTTTTTCATAGAGCCAGATACATGGACTTGTTATGCAGAACTGTGTATTAGGAGGGAAGACAGATTTTCCTTCAGTAAGCCAATAATTTTAATCATACTGCATTCCTAAAGAGCCACAAACTCTCAGCAGCAGCACTGACAAGCTCAAAAACACGTATTTTGATCCAGTGGATGTCTGTCTGTGACTCATTTTCCTTTTCAGGGGTATTTATTTGGGTGGACTGGTTTTCAGGGACATTTGGGTGGACTGGAAAAATGCACCATAATGAAAGAATTGGAGATGAGGGCCTAAATCTCAGGTGATGTTCTTCCTCACAACAACAAAGGCTCAGTGCATACCAAAACAATGTCACTTCCTCCTGTCAGAGGGAGGAAGAGTTATACTCTTATCAAATCATGCATGAAGTAAAAGCGAGTGTCACCATACTGATATCATTAGGACACTCTTTAACACAGCCCATATTTTGACTTAGTTTAACCAGTGGCAGGTGGTTGCTTAATTTCCATAGGTCTCCTCCTATGTTAGATGATAACTGTGAACTTTAACCAGATTGTCCAATCAGGCCCATTTAGGGATAGTCAACGAATCTCAGGTTAAAGCTGCACTGCAAGACACTCCTGGTCTTCTGGAACATACCCAACATAGGAATGGGCTCTGTAGGGTGTATATTACACACAAACAAATATGTGGATATTGGGAAGCTCAGTATCAGGAAGAGGTGGTCATAAAAAAAGGGAAAAAAGAGACAAAACCAAGGCAAAGTAAAAGAAGTTCTTTGCATCAGCTCTCATCAACCATATTGGCTCAGACAAGAGTTAACATTTACATTATTTACTAAAAGGTGGCGTTTATTAGAAAAACTACAATGAAACAGTGGGCAAAACCCAGGGACATACTCATTCCTCTTTGAAAGCATCTTTTTCTATCTTCTTTTGTTGCTGTTTTTGTTGCTGTAACTAATTTATATATTTATGTTTGCAAAGTAAGCCAGTTAGCAAAAATTATTTTTATGCTCCCTTGCTACTATAACAACAAAACGAAATCCAAGTTCCTGCATGATGTGACATGTAAACCATTTGAGCTGAAGTGACTGCCAGAAATGGATGGAAAGTTTTTATCCTGAAGAAACACTCAGATAAAATGCTAGCATAACATAAAATTATTTACTGATAGTAACTGCAGGATTTTTTGTGTCTTCTCTTTTTAAAAATCTGTTTAGCCAGGTCTAGTATTCAACACCTTAAAGCATCAGCAGAGAAAGTGACACATTTTCCCATCTAATGTTGGGTAAATCTGAAAACAAGTGTTTGGTTTTTTTTTAAAGGAAGACATAAATCAATTTTGTTGGGATTTCATGAGGGGAAAAAACCCTCAGTTGCAGGGACACCTAAGGTAAAGCACGCATGTTTTCAAAGAAAGTATTGTAAGTGTGTTACAAATGCTTAACATTTTGCCAGTTTCACTCAAGGTCCTGATGCAGGCCAGGTTTTAAAAGCTGGACAGCCTCAGCTCCACCTAGATGCCATGATCACAACTGTATGTACTTATCTCACTTAACATTCTTGTATGCAATGATTCAGCTTCATTTCCTTTCTTTAAGGCAGTTAAAGTCAACAGAAATAGACAAATGGATACTTCTTTTTTATAATACAACTTCAGATTTTCCAGACACCCACTTGCTCCTTTGCTCAGAGAAAGTTAGAACTAAGTGCCTATTTTTCTGCACCAGGAAAAAGCTGACAGTTCATTAGCTTTTGCTATCAAGCTCTAAAATTACAGTTACATCAATCCACCTCCTCTGTCCTACAGAGCTTCTCCGTTACCACAAAGCCTATTCAAAATTTCCCCAAGGGCCAAGACCAACACTTGAAAAATAGTGTAACTTTGTATGAAACCAAAAGCATGCCTTATTACCCACCATCCGAGATACCCCCGCCCGACCTCATTCTTTTTAGTTGCTGTTATTTCAGACCCATATCAGTTCTCATCCTGAACACAGCTGGGAGCAGCGATCTCCACCCTGCCCCCCCAAGCCTGCGTAACATTAGTTTGAATCTTTTATTCATTCACTGATAGAAATATCAAGAGGTTTCTTTAAATGACAGCAATATGCCTGGACGACCAGTCTGCCAGCAGGATTCTTTAGCATTGTGTGAATAACTGGCTGTTAGAGAGAGACTGCTTTGAAGTTACCATTTGCAGCACCCAGAGCACTTGGGTTGGATCAGTTTTTACTGGATTACTTTCATGGCAAGCTCTTTTTTCCCAACTGAAGAGTTTCTTTGTGAGCAATGAATGAGGATGCGTCTTGGGAATGATCTGATACTTCAAAAGATGATTCTTGTAGTCTATCTTGCAGTAAGCTTCTCTTCTGAAGGAAACGCTGCAGAGCCCTTGTATTGATCACAATTATAGCACATGCAACGGGCCTTTTATCACCGGGCTGTCTGCACTATCACTTTTCAATATACTCCGAAGCAAATCCTTGCAAACTAGGATTTTATTAGCTGGCATATTTGTAGATATATTATGTCTTTTATAATGCTATGTTTTTTTTCTGCAAAACACTTCAAAACAAAGCTGTAGTCAATGAAAAGTTTAGTCACTGTCCAGTGAATAACTACAATTTACACTATTTTAGGAATGGTAAAATCAAGAATGTCTTCAAGTTTAAAAATCAGAAATTTGGGAGTTTTGGCTTGTTGGATTTTTTTTAGTTTTGTTTTCTGTATTGAGTTTCATTGGAGGCGAAAAAAAAGAAGAATTTGCACACCCAAACAGTTAGACAAAGGTAAAAGTTAAAATCAGAAAAGAAAAATTGATGGCTAATACACATTTAGTAGAAGTTTCTGACCAGCACTCAGTCTGTAGAAGCACTGAAGACTGACATTTAAAACCACACCACATTTATCACGTTCTAAGCAACACTCCCCTATAGGTTTCTACATACCCAGACAAAAGTTTATTTTGAAGGTGCTAAACACTAAATGTGTTAAAACCAATGAATTTTTAACTTAAAGCCATGGCAAATGGTTTCTGGTTATTTTTTTAAAATAAGAAAATAATGATAAACTAAGTTCTAGATGTGAAAGCCATTATTCATGCCTATGCTCAGATACTTGATTTATCCTTTGTCACTGAATGATTCAATTATTTTAATATTCTTTAGCACAGCTTCAATGACACTGAAATGCTTATGTGAACACAGCACAACTTTTATGTAGATAATCCTGTCTGAACAACTCTTGTTCAAAGCAATGCCAAGGGTACTAGCTAACGGGTCTTAAAATATGATTTCTAGTATGCAAGTACTGGATACTTAAGCACATGTACATCCTTCAGAAAGTAATCCTGGCAATGTTCTCTTACAAGCAGGTCTTTTGCCATGGTAGATGTACTCTAGTTCTTTTTGACCTTTCATCCTATGAAGGCTACATGATCATGGGCAAACTCCTACTCAGTTCTGTAGATATTTTTTTCCTTATTTTATGAAGAACTCTTCAAAAACATCCTGCTGGAAAACTTACAGTATTCTGCAATTTTAACTTAAATAATCTTATGGATCAATTGAAGCTGCTACTGGTTAACTGGGAAACAAAAAATTACAGCAATTCAGGAAGAACTTTTCTCTCCTTTTCTTCAAAGCTCTGTTTTGAGGTACTATGTCTTCATCGATCTCAGCAGACAGATTATTTCATCTTTGGATTAGACTAAATCCTACAGGCAATTAAAAAGCCTAGTCCCAAAACACAGGTTTACATATGCTTTATATGACATGGACACTTTCCTATGCTTAGCAAAATGATGATACAATTTTCTGTTGCTTCCTGCCTTCGTTCACACTGAAACCAGGTGTCCACAGTTGCATCATATAACAATGGTAAGACCCCTGTAGTAACTAATAATAAGAATACATTGCTTTTTATCAACATGAGCCAGGCTCACTTCTACAATATGATGTAAAATGCAAAGGTTTCTTTTCTCAGCAGTTCTTTTCTAAGTTTCTTTTCTCAGCAGTTCCCCATTTTCTGTTGTTATCGTAAGTGATACTGCCATGGCAGTTGTGATACTCAGGATAGAAAATGGAAGTAAAAAAAAAATCATGATCAGGCAACAAACCTAAATGATACCAAACATGCACGAAGTATGGCTGCTCTTTCACATGCTTCAGAGATGCTGTCCCAAGGTAACAGCAGATGACTTGGGGGGCAGGGCCAGCAAATATGGAAATGGGGTCAAAAAACGAGGAGTTGGCAGGGTATCTCCAACATTAATGCAGGAGAGGGCTCAACCTTCTGTGAGTGAGCTCATGTCTGAGCCAAGGACAACCAGGAGAGCTGCTGGGAGAGGGGCAATAGTGGCAGGGGTCCTAGTGATACTGGGGGTGCTCTTGAACAGCTAGCTTGGGAAACAGCTGTGATTTTGGATGCCAGGTCCACTTGAGCTTCCTCTAGTGCAGCCCTATTTGGAATCATTCGGTAACACATGGAAGGAAGCACTGAATCCGTATTTACAGAGGTGGAAAATCAGAGCATGACAGTGTGGCATTTTCACAAGTATCTGTGGGCTTTTTTCGGGCAAGATACCTGGGGATCAGCAAGAGCTTTATCTTAAAATAGATACTTCATAAACTTCAACCCTACCTGTCTGACTTAATGTACAACAGAAGCTTGACTGATGGAGTTTCAGAACACTAGCAGATACCTATCCTTCACTAATCAGCCATGATTTAATTTAGAGCCAGTAATCAGTAACTGATTATTTGTACAGCGTAACCACAACGACTTCAATCCTGGCTGGAACAGAATTGTTTTCAGAGACACAAGTAACTTCAGTTGTAGAGATGGCTCACACCGCTAGGTTGAAAGAAAAAAAGAAGCCTTGAGAACTTACCACCGAGGTAAGAGCCATCTGAAAACTGTAGATTCGTGCAAGGCCAAAGTCAGCTAACTTTATCTGCCCGTTGCTGGTTACAAGGATATTTTGAGGTTTCAGGTCCCGATGCACCACACGATGCGAATGCAGAAAATCCAGTCCCCGAAACAGCTGAAGCATCATATCCTACATATGAAGAAGAAATTAATACACAATTATCAAGAGGAGGTGCCAGGCAGACAAGCAAACTCCCTGTCATAATCTGCAAAACTAATTTACTAAATATCGACTTAAATATGTGCACAGGAGATAAAACCAACTAATAATACAAAATGGACAGGATGTTGTTACAACCAACAGACTTGAACAGGCATCCTTAGTGTATTGTTTCTAGCTGAATTGAAGCTGATTGACAAAAGTATAAAGATTAGTCAATACACTTAAAAGAAATAGCAAAAGTACATCTGTAAATCCCAGGACAACTTCAAAAGAATGCTGTTCAAGTAAAAAAACCCATATAGTAACTTTTTATTCTTAACTTTAAACCACACACCCCTTTCCATCTCACTAGTTTATGCTTTGTCCCACCCCAGTGAAGTGAAATGTTATCACTCATTTCAATAGGCACAAAGATCTCTTTCAATCAGAAAAACCTTTTAAATGACAAACTTCCCAAGATTTAATGTTAGAGAGGGAAAAAGTTCACTTGGCAAAACCTGTTGTACAGAATTTACTGAATAGGACAGAAACTATCTTTAGATGAAAGTTTAGCACTAAATTAGTGTAATAATAATAACAGTTCTCGTTTTTCTTTCTGTTTTGTTATAGTGATATAATCTTCCATGACATTTCCACAGCTGAAGAAACTATTTGATCTATACTCATGTTTTCACATTAGTCTTAGTAATGCAAAAAGAATGAACTAACAGACTCAAAACCAAATACTAGAAATCCCCTGAATTCCAAATTAGAATGATAATGTCAACTTGAGAATTGTATTTGCAAAACAGGCAGTTACAAGAAGATGCTGCAACAAGAAAGAAACAAAACAGATCAAGTTTGTTTTTTGTATGCACTTGACTTGAGCTCATGAAACTTCAGTTTTGTGTTTGCTGGTGACATATGCCCTTTCCATAAGCCATGCAGCAGAGTGTCTGCCAATCCTGTTATTAGCAAGCAAAACGATCTTGGAGAGGGTGTGGCATGAAATATGAGAAAAGGGAAGAAGGAAAAACTGAAGCTGGTTGCTTTTGTTCTTCTCTGTGGACTTGGGCATGTTTCAAGTAAACATTTAAGGCACTATTAAAAGGAATTAGATCTGGAAATGGGTTTAAAAATAGCTCAAAACATTCAATTTGATAATACTGCTTTAGTTGGATATATTTTTAAGGGATACTTTACAGACATTGTTATATAATTTAATACAAAATTATTATTTCCCTGTAATGTTCCCTGATCATCTTTACAGAAAATATTATAAAATATATAGATATTAAGGTTGGAAGCTCTAACCTGACCTCTGATAAAAGGTGGCCATCTCTGTATATAGCCTGCTCATAAATAGATAAGAGTTTTTATTTGAAGACTCTGATGATGAAGATTCTACATGGAGTTACGGATGCTGTTACAGCATTTAATTATTATCACCTCTGAAGGATGGTGGTAAACTGAGAACCCCATTTCCTGTTAGTTGATGCCTTTTATTTCCTTTGTTTCCCCAGAAAAAAAAAAGAGATCTGATAATTTTGATAACTGGTGTAATCCAGACTACATCTTTAAACCAAATATACAAAGTGCATTTAATCCTCTTATATTTACATTATTTTCTCTGCAGTTCAGAAATTTTTGTAAGAACCAGGACTACAGCTCTGTGGGTTTCAGTCAGGAGAATCAATCTGCTCACTCCCTGTCATTATAACTTATATCAAAATTCAACAGTCTTTGGTTCAGTCTTGCAGATCTGAAAAACACAGCAAGAACATTGAAGTGCATGATTATTTTAAGCGCGAACTTAATTGTTTAATTGAATTTGGGCCTATTTTTTCTTTTTTATTCCAGGTAGACATAATATCAAATTAAAAAACAATTTAAAGAACTGAAAGATTAGTCAGTAGACCTGGCAAGTCCCTTTTTGGTGACATTTATGCACCCTACTCATTTGTCAAGTATGTAAACTCATTCCTGCAGTTACCAAACATATCAAGAATACTTTTTCCTACACTGATGCTGGTTTTGTTTCGACTTCCTTCCTCAAGCATAGCAAACACGCTTCTGCTCCGTTCATAGCAAGCTGCAAACAATGTCTTCAGTTTCTATATTCAGTCTTCTTCCAGGCACAGGTAAAAGAAGAAAATATTTGAAAATGGAAACTGGTATATATTTCCCTCCCTTCGTAGAACTCAGGAGATGAATATCATTTACAGAAGTTCTTTTCACACAGAAAAAATGAGATGTGCTGCAGAGAAGTGTACTAGGAAAGTGTAAATTTAAAAGGTGTTAGAAAGAAGAAGAAAAACTGAGGGGGAAAAAATGCTGTATTTTCTCTTCTAGGAAATCCAGAGTTAGTCCATATAGGCTATTCTCTAGTATTCATTTTGGACTGCTGATTATGTTTATTACTTACTATTACAGGTATGAACAGATTTCAGTTTAAAATTATTTTGGAAGAACAACCCGAAGATTCATGTGTGTAAAGAAGGGCACTTGGATGTAAAATTTGATATTTTTGATTCATTTCTGTCCTGTTTTTTTAAATACTCAGCAACTTCAGAAAAGAGCAGCAGCCAAAATCATGACATGGGCTTATTATTACGCATTTTAAATTAGAGAGTCCCAAACAGTACAGCTTAGAATTTGATACTTATTTGCACAAATGGATTTTCAATACCAAAGCAAACAAAAGAGAGTGCTTTTAAACTGGTTTTTTATCCATAATGAATGATTAATTTTGTGCTGTACACAAGCCTAGTCAAAAACCATTAGGCCTCACGTTTGAGAAACGACTTCATTCTCTTGGTCACCCACTTGTAAGAAACATCAGACTCGTTCTGGCCTGTGTGCTTTCTCTGACACTGTAACTAACACCAGAAGATACTAACCTTTGCTAGCAAATTGGATAAAGGAGGTAAACATGCACAAGCCAGATCACTACCTAATTAAATCAGGATAATTCCACTCATCTGACGGAAATGGATCCACTTTTATTAGAGATGAATACCCAGTATTATCTCAATTACCATGATCTAGAAATAACTGCAAAGGAGTCTTCATGTGCCTTAAGGATTAGTTTTTTCCATGTCTGCTTTTCCCTGAGAAATTTGCTGTGGTAGATAGGCATACTGCACTTTGGAATTACAGATAAAATCAGATTTCAAAAGTTAATTGAAAAGTGATCAATTCTATTCCACAAACAAGAAGTTTCATGCCTTAGGAGATTAATGGAACAAGCTCTAATGAGTCATGATCAAACCTCTACTGACGTCTATCAGATGTTCTTTGGATATCGCATGTTTACAAACACAAGACACAGAATGTGCCTCTTGTTTCAGATTACAGATTTCTGTCATGCTCTAGTATTACAAAACCTATGATGGTTGCTGTTGTTCAAGGTGAAGATATGTACGTTATCCCACTGTGGTTATGATCAGACAATCACGGCTTTACAATTTCTTCCTTTTCAGGCTACATTTTCAGTGCAGTCTGTGCACAAATCAAAAATATTTATATGTAACTCAGTTGAAAACTGAGTTATTTTGGGATGCAACAAACAAACACACTTTCTTTAGAGGCAAATATGTAGCTTTAATTTTTGTAAAAGCCTCATAATGGAAACAGGAGCAAAATTTGCTATGGAAATGATGCATCTTTGCCTTTTCCACCATATATTGTATCGACAATGATTGCTCAGTCTGATATTTACTGAATTTATCAGCAGTGAAGTCAGGACCAAATTACGATGAACTTTTCAGGCAATACCATATTATGTCATGAGTCTCAGTAATACACAGAAGTACTTTCTGCATATTCTTCCTCTAGCATCACAGAGGATGGGGCTCAGCTTGGGTGAGGCTGAGCAGCTGTCTGCTGCCTTTGCCAAAGGGAGCTTCACAGCACACATATCCCCACAGGGGCAGCAGGAGCAGAAAGCCCTGACTTTCTACAAACTTCTGTCTCCACCTTGTCCTATCCCCTCCTGACTCTATGCTTCACTGACCCCTCTTAATCCTCCTCCAGCATCTGATCCATAAATCCCTTCCAAGCCACTGGCTTTCAAACACCACTCTGATCCTTTAAGAGTCACAGACTTTCTTGACTTCCAAAGAAAATACCTGTGAATTATCTGCAGTAACTTACTACTTGTTTAAGACCAGTCAGATTCTCTGGAGGAGGACTCTACCTGCCTAATCCAAAAGAGGATGGCATGGCTTTTGACCAAAACATTCAAGTATCTACTCAAAGAAAAAAGAAACTGTGGATTTGGTTGTGGTGGTGGTGCCTGGGCACCAACAGCTGGGACTGCAGGGGCCTCTGTCAGGGGAGACCAGGGGCTGCCTCCTGCCAGACACACTCAGCTCCAGCCAGCTCTGACGGATCCACTGCAGCGCATGGCTGGGCCCGTCAGCCAGGACAGTGGTGCTTCTGTGAAAACATAATTAAGAAAGGGCAGAAAAGGCTGGAGGAAAAGAGGAAAACGGAACAAAAGGAGTGAGAAACAGCACAGGAATGGTTAGAGGAGGAGGAAGAGAAGGAAGAGGAGAGACAGGAGTTACTCCACGATGGAGCAGATATCCACACTGCAGCCCATGGAGGACTTGCATTAGAGCAGGCAGATATTCCTGAGCAAACTGCAGCCTGTGGAAAGGACTTAGGCTGGAGCAGGCTGAAAGTGCAAGAAGGAAGGAGTAGGAGAGAGAGGCTGCTATGGACTAATCACAACCACTCACACCCCATTTTCCTGTACTGCTCAGGGTGAGGACAGTCAGAAGTGATGTGCAGCCTGCAAAAAGACAGGGGAAGGTGTTATTTGAACATCTGCCTTATTTCACCACCATCTGAATTAGCAATTAAGTATCTATCTTGACTAGTATTAAACTAAGTTGATTTTCTCCAAGATGAGTCTATTTTGCCTATGATGTGATTGGTAGGCAATCTCTCTTTTCTCAGACTATGAGCTTTCTTGCTTCTTA